TCACTTTAATAAGAAACGCTTCGATGCAAATCTGTAGATAGTGTTTAATTCTAAGAAATTGGTGTATTATTCCAACAGCAAAATTAACTTATATTTTTTGTTCTACTTCGACTGTCAATTTGCACATTAAAATAGGTCGTCGGTACAATTTTTTTTTTTGAACTTCTAGTACATAAAATAAGCTTTATTTAAAAGACACAGTATTCCCGAAACATTTTCAAAAATTAAGTTGAAAAATTTCTACTTATTATACAAATTTTCAAGTTTTCAAAAATTTCAAAAAAAGCTTTTCTAAACTTTGAGGAGACAAAATAATTGAAATAAGTATAAGTTTATACTCAATATAAGTTAGATTCATGTAATTTTTATATTTATTGGAAAACTCATTACTATGGCAAACCCTTATAAGGTATCATAAAATAAAAAGAGAAATTAAATTTGAAAACAAGAATAGCGTGTCTTCTAACTAGGGCAGTCATTTGCATAAAGAAGATAGAGGTCATCAGGACAATATTTTTTTATTATTTATAACACGTAACATAAGCTTTAATTTGACATATGTTAAAAGGACGTAGTATTTCTGGAAAATTTCAAAGTTAAGTTGAAAAAGTTATTATTTGAATCCCCTTTTGTGGGCAGGTAAAAGGTCAGATTTTCAAAAATATTATGTCAAATAAAAGGAAATTACTTAAGGTTTCAATATAAAAAATAATTATTTTGATTTGTTCATTTTTCAATAAGTTATAGCAATTTTTATCAAATGATAGGTAAAGATACTATGCATCTATAAAAAAAGATTATATTGATTGATTTGGTCATTTTTGATAAAGTTATGTCAGTTTTAAGTAAAAAAAGTTGAAAAAATGTCGAAATTTACCGATTTTAAAATCGTAATTTTTTGGGAGATTTCCACCATTTACGGGTAAAGAGGGATATATTTTAATTTTTGAGGGTAATACTTCAACTAGATACGATTTGTGATCTTTTGACGTATCTTTGAGAAAAATCGGTCCATATGAAACTGAAAATGTAATGAATCATACAAAAAATAAACACATCATGATAAAATTATACCTTCACTGCTTTACATCGACACTAACCATTTTTTTTTAATCATTAATATTTTTTCATATTCAGTTTTAAAGGTCGAAATCGATTCTTAGCTTCCACTTGCGTCACCAACCAATAAAAAAGATTTTACCCAAAAAATTAATTTTAAATGAAATAAACTTTTTTTAAGCTAGTTAAGTTAAAAAAAAATCAACTTATCTTTTAACTTAACTAGTTCAAGTTACATTTTGTTAACTTTTAACAGTTAATTTATCGACATTGATTATAATTAACTTAACTTGAGCTAATTATTTTCATTAGCTTACTCATCTTTGCATTATAGGCAAATTGATCTCTTCATCAAAGAAATGATTCAATAATTATATTCAATTTATATTGAATAATATACTATTGACTGCCCTGAATTACTATCTCAAATCTCCTTTATTTTACATAATTATTAGTAAACAAATTTATATTATGCAAGCTTCTCTCTATAAAATACTTTTTGGCTGTAACAAATTAGACAAAGTTGTATTTTTTATTCTATTAACTAGTTAAGATCTTAATTATTATGTAAAATTTTAGCTTCGATGCGAAGCTGAGTAGGTATTGGTTTTACTAAGATGTGTTTTTTTTTTTTTGTGTCTGTTACCACTTTTTCTCAGCTCTCACCGAACCGATTTTTTTCAATGATACGTCAAAAGATCACAAATCGTATCTTATCGAAAAAATTACTCCCAAAAATTGAAAAAAATTCCCTCGTTCCCTGTAAATGTAAAAAAATTACAAATTTAAAAATGGCTAATTTTCGACATTTTTTCAATTTTTATAACTAAAAACTGCCATAACATTTTGAAAAATGAACACATCAATATAAATATTTTTTTTGTAGATGCATGATATCATTACCTTTTATTTGGTATATATTTTTTTTTATGTGACCCTTTACTTGCCTACAGAGGGGGATGTAAAATGACAACTTTTTCACAAAAAATTAATTTTTTCAACTTGATTTTTGAAAATGTTTCGGAAGGTCTGACACTTTTATATATATATCTTAAATTAAAGTTAATGTAATATACTTTATCATGAAACAAAAAATTTCGGACTTTATTTTATCTTCATAGATTCAATAGCAGATCATGTAGCTTTTGGAATAATCCACCAATTTTCTAAAATTAAACACTATCTAAAGATTTGCATCGAAGCGTTTTATTTTGATAGTGATTTTAATCACTGTGAGATATCATTATACTTGATCCAACTATGCCACGTCACCACGACGCCCCTGTACTGGGTTTGTTTTTTTTAAATATTATTATTATTACTGTTACTAGTGTTATTATATAAAAATTAAAGTGAATATCTTACAAATTTATAGCTAATTTAGCTACGAAAAACACAAACTACTGCGTAACGGAAAAATCGAAAATTTATAAAAGATATTTTATTTTAATATATTATAATATTAAGTATAAAAATATTAAGCTAATTTGAATTTCAAATGATCGTTAGGTTAAAATAGATATTTTTAATTATTTATAACAATTAAAAATTTTTCAATATCGGTATATCAGAAAATGAACAAAGATTGTCATATCAAATATCATATCATATGTAATAAAAAGTGAATGTGTTTTTACACGTGATAAATAAATACCTAAGATATTTGCTATTTGTTATCTGTTAAATTATAATTTCAATTATAGGCGACTATTTTCATCAAAAAAGTTACATACTTATAACCAATATTTAGAGTGAAAAGAATTCCTTTTCTTCTGCCATTTCTTAAATTTATATTTTATTGATTGATATCATAAAAAATACATTTAATTCAAATATTCATGAATTTTAAAATTCTATACATAATTTATTATTAAACATTAATAGGATATTAATGTTTTAAATAAATTAAAAATTTATAATACGTTATATTATTTGCATAGTATATAAGTATAAAAATTATTTATGTTGAAAAATTAACGTAAATTATTAATTAAAGCAAAAGTTATTGAATTTAAAATATCTTTATGACTTAGCCTGTATACTATATTAAGGGAAACACAGTTACTGTTTTACGGGTTTAGCATACCGGTGCCCAGAGCTTTTACTCTGTTGGGTATGACGAGATTATCATATGGCTAACAACCTTATACTATTAAATAATTTTTATTTTAAAATAGTAATAACTTTTGAATAGTCGGTCATTAACTTTAATTTAAGATATATATATATATATAAAAGTGTCAGACTTTCCGGTACACTTTCAAAAGTTAAGTTGAAAAAGTTCTACTTTCTACATGCATTTTTTAGATTTGAACCCCCCTCAAATATAGGGAAATGGTCCGATTTAAAAAAAAAGTATGTCGAATGAAAGATGTATATAAATACTACTTCTCATGAAAAAATTGTATTGATCCATACATTTTTCAAATAGTTATAGCATAATAAAATTAAAAATGTAAAATACAAAATCGAAAATTTTCACACAAAAATAGCATTCGGTAGCCATTTTCACCGTGAAGATAAAATAAAGTCCGAAAATTTTTTTTTTTCATGATAAAGTATATTACATTAGCTTTAATTTAAGATATA